CAGTTAGTCCATGCATCCCCCATGCAGCAGCAGGAAAGATAATGGATGGACACGCAGAGCAGCTCCTGGAGCTCCAAACTACGTGTTTCACCCACTGATTTTTAGGATGCATTTTGCAAATGGGAATTCCAGATAGGAAAGTTTCTGTTTCCCGAGAGAGAAAATGTTGTTGGTCGCTGACTTTCTTACAAAAAGCTCTTACCTCCCCCATGCAGCGCCAGCAGTTTCCCTGCAGTGGTGAGCCCAGGTTCAGCCAGTCATAGCTCTCCTGCGGAGGGGAACATAGGGGAAAGCACTCAAAAGCTGTATTTCTCCCCTCCAGCCACGCTTGCCTGCTGGAGGCAGGAGGAGAGGTCTTCTGAGAGCATGAGCAGCATCCGCAGCATCAGGTGTAGTGCCGGCCCCGCTCCCTGCTCCTCCAGGGAATAAAACAGGCTGGTGCGGGAGCTGTGCCCGCCTGGTCTGCCAGCAGGATGAGGTCCCTCTCCTGGGAACCAGGGCAGCACCCACCAGCTCCTGCCACCCGGCGCGGTGCTGCGGTGGCAATGGGTAGTGCGGGACCCCCCATCTGCAGGGCTGGCTGTGAGCCTGTGCGCTGCCGCTGTGCCTTCCCAGCCCCGCGGTGCTCCACTCGGGCACCCCAGCCTCAGGCATCGTGTCCTGCAAGACCTCACCTCTGTGCTCCCCGAGGCCTTCTCTGTCAGAAATTTGGGAGGGTCTGCCACCAGCTTCTTTAGGGCTAAGCCTGTGACTGGAACAACAGGAAGACCCTGTCATTTTTGCCTCGTGTTTGGGAGAAGAAGCCATCCTCAAGCAGCTTTCACCCAACCCTCCCCATCCCATTAGCTGTACCACCCCACCCTGTGTAGCAGCACGTGCTCCCACATCTACCGCAACCTCCTCCAGGAGCCCCTGCAGGGACATGCTCACCACCATGCAGTGAGTTGAGGACCTATGCTCACCACCATGCAGCTCCACCAGCCCCGCTGCACCAGGCTGTCAGTGAGGACCAGGGCATGACCTTACCTGGTAATTCAGATTTGACACCCGCACCACCACCTCGTACTGCAACAGCAAAACAAAACAGAGGAGAGCTCAGGAGCCAGGTCGTGTCTAGAAGAGCACCCCATCCTCTGCCCATTCTCTCCCTCTTCTTCACGCCTTTGCTGTGAAACCTGTTCCTGCTGGTTCGTGCCCACTTGCACCAAGCTGCCGGGCACCAGGAATCCCACCCAGCTGCCCGTCCCAGGAGGGCAGCACACTGCAGGGCTGAGAACACATTCCCAGCCTCCGCCTCTCCATCCCTCCCCGCTGCCATGCAGAGAGCAGATTTCTTGCTTGGCTTCCAGCAGCAGAGTCCTTCCTCTTCCTCCTGCCTTCCTCCTGCATAGGCGCATCCCTGGGCCCTCACCTTCCTCCCGCCTTCCAGTGCAAGCATGCTCTAGCTGCCTGGTGCAACGCAGCTGCCGCTGCCTTGCCCTCTCCCTCCTGCCTGCGGTCCTGGCCAGGGCCCCTCCTTGGGAGACACCCTGATCTGCACCCGCTCCCCCTCTGCCACCTCCAGATGGACCCTCACCCACCTGCCCTGGGCCGCCCTGCACTTACTTCTTAGTCTATAGTGCAATAAGCAGTTGGGTGTGATTTTATAGTGTCGCAGGGTCAGGTGGTCCTCCATTTGTCTGCTGTCGTAGATCAGCGCTCCTGTCTCGGGGATCAGGGAGGAGTCCTGTGCGTTCAGCTTGGCCTTAAGCTCCCACACGCTGTCATCCAGAGATGCTGTCACTGGCAATGTTTTTCCATGTAAATTCTTAACGAAGATGGAGAACTCGCCGGGGTTGTCGGCCGCCTGCTGCTGCTCCGCCATGGCGTCTCTTTCAGCCATCCCCGAAGATCTGAGGCTCCGGCTCTGTCACTTCCCGAGAAACTGAAAGTGCTGGGTGATGTCAGGGCTGACCCGCTGTCAAAGCGCCTTCACGCCTCGGCTGAGTGCTCCTCCTCCTGCCCACAGCCCCTGCCTGCACCCGGCTTTCTCCCCTGCCTGCACAGGCTCTCTTTTTTCCCTGCCTGCACCAGGCTTTCTCCCCTGGGCTGCTCCATTTGCACAACCTCTCTCCCTTGTTACCTTCCCTTTCCCCTTCTCCCCCACCCGGCTCCTCTTCCGGGATTTCTTTCCCTGGGGAAGGCAGGGCAGAGCCGTGCAGGCAAGGCAGAGCGTTTTCCCAGGGGAACAGTGCATCAGAGGCTTGGATCCAGCCTGGAAAGTCTGGGGGTGCCAGAAGGTCCCCCGCTGGGTTATGGGGTCACCCCAGCGCCTGCCCTTCACCCTCTCCCCAGCGCATCCCTGCCCTCCGTTTCCTGCCAGCCCGGCGTGTGCCCAAGCTGGGCAGGACATGGCTCTGCCTGCCCCAGGATGCACGGGGGACCAGCTTGTTCCCGTCCCTGCTGCAGCGGCGAGGGTAGTCTGAGGTGGTGGGAGGTGCAGAGCTGGCAGGGAGCTGAGGGTGGGCAGCACGGTGGGCAGCTGCCTGGCACTGCTGGCATGGCCCTGTCAGCCCCCTCCCTGTCAGGCACTGCTGTTCCCCTCAGGGC